TTTATCTCTGTCAACAATATATATGTACATATCTACATTACTCAAAAGAATTTCGTTAGAAAGAGAGCAAATTGAGCAGGCGATGGTTATTCACTGCTGATCAGAAGCAAGGGACCTGGCATAGCTGTGCTTGATACGTGACAGTATCACTAACAAGGGATACCTAGTACTAATGCCTTGGCGCTCTTGGCACTGGCATTCCTGGCACATAAATAAACAAATATACAAACATGTAATATGTAGAAACATTTTTGTACATACAACATGTATCTACACATTCAGGATACAGCAACAGTTTTTGTTTCCTCAAATTATTGAAACAATTAATTAAGCTAAAAAGAACAGGCAAAAACAAGCAATGCACGGAGATACAAAACAAGCAAAGTTTCTAGGGAGGCTGCAATATGAATGAAAAAAGCACACTACTACATGATGAATGACGCAGAAAAGAGGGTTACAAATTTAGGAGTGATGAGGAGGAAAGTATTCATCCAAACCAAGGGTACGGGAAACCGGGGTAAAGACTAAGGATTGGCGTACGAAAATAGGTGGCAAGCGACTAACCTTCATATCCCTATAAACAATGCATTCTTCATGCAGATAGCCGAGAGCCAGGATGATTTCGGCGCCATAGAATCTCGTCCTCAACTCGCTAAAGACCCGATTTTGTTGCAAATGGAAGAACAGCTCGCCACCATTCGCGAATTCCATGACGAAACATAAGTGAGTAGACGTTTGGAAGCTGTATTTCAGTTGCTAAAATAGACAACCACAACATACACGGACGAAACAGACCAGGGACCAAGGCGCAACACCATGTTTTTGGCAGTGCAGCATGTCAAAAAAAACGGCAAGAGCGATGAAAATGTCTCGCAAAAAAGAAAGCCTTGCAAAAAACAGCTCTCGCCAGAGCACTGAGTGAACAGCGAGATATAGTTCGTGTTACTAATGAAATGTTCAGAAACTTATTAGAATAAAGATAGCTATTGAGGCTGTTAAAAA